CATAGTGCTATCCAGAATGAAGAGTTAGTGAGGGGAGGGGGCCCTGTCCAGAGAGTAGTGCTGATGAGGAGTAGAGGCACCAGCAAACTATGAGGACTATGTAATTTGGGCTTTTCTTTTTTAATTGCTATAGAACTCAGAGTGGAAGAATAGAGATTAAGCCTAGATGTAAAATGAACTGCCTGGTTGTTTAGAGCCAGTAAGAGATGATTGAAGGAGGTTCAGCACTTCAGCAAGGGAGATTCTCACTTGTCTAGACTGAGGCAGGGCAACCTGGTCCAGATGCAGGGGAGGAAAGTTTGAGGAATGTGCCAACGTGGGATCTGAATATTGCTACATTTTCTCCCACAGACCCAGAGAAGCCCGAGGTCTCTGGAGCAGCTGCCAGTGGTTGTTCTGGTTCTTCTACAGTCTTGACACCCAGCAAGCTGAGTCCTGGCACAGACGGGCCTGTACCCTTGGCCCAGCCCCCCCTGATCCTGCAGCCCCTGGCTTCCCCACTGCAGGTGGGCGTGCCACCCATGACATTGCCTATCATTCTAAATCCAGCCCTAATTGAGGCTACTTCACCTGTGCCTCTGCTAACTGCTCCTCGCCCCACTGACCCTATGCCCACTTCTGAAGTCAACTAAGACAGGTGGTTGGAAAGATTGGGCCTATCCCTCCTGTCACACCACTGAGGGCTTCTCACCCTCTCCCTCTTCTGGTTGCACACTTATGTTGATGCCACCCCTGGGCCCAGCCCAGCCACTGCTGCTGCTCTCATTGGAGCCATTGCGAAATTGCTGAAGGGAATGAGGGCAGCACTTCCTACAGACATCATCCAGAGAAGGGACTGTCTTCTTCTGGTCATCATTTCTGGGAAACCTCCCTGTGAGCTGAGAAATCAGACTTGGGGCTCACCCAGAGCCCACCCCAGGCTAGCTCTAGTCTCTTAGGAGTCCTGGGCTAACCCCAAGGGAGAGACTTCTGGACATTAGTGCCAACCAGCCCTGTCCATGTTGCTTCTTGGCATTAGGGGCCCCTTCTTTGCCCTTATCCTTCGGTCCTAGCTCTGAGAGCTATACTCCAACCACATTGCACTTTGCTTCCCTTTCCTGAGACCTCTTCTCCTCCCCATCAGCCCTGAACTACCTCCTCCAGTTCTTCCTCCTTTATCCATGAGTTGGGTTAATTTGGGGAGTTAATTAGGGCCAGGGGACAGAGGTAAAAAGGGGAATTGCCTCCAGGAGCATGTACATATGAAGAAGTTAACAATTGACTTTTTACAGTGTAATAAATGTAATAAAACCCACACCCCAGCCTCACTTTCCCCTTCTACTTTACCTCCTCCCCTCCCCAACACTTCCTTTTCTGAGCCTGTGGCCTGACTTGACAGAGAAGGGACCAGTCCTACCATATAGGATCCACAGGGGTAGCCGAGGGGGAGAGAAGAAATAAAAGGGGATGCTGCAGCATTCTGACCCCTGCTTAGGAAGGAATTGGGTGCAAGGACAGGTCTTTTTTTGTTGCTACTCTGTGGCCACCAGTCACTTTGCCTGACTATCCTCCCACCTGGGGAAGAACATTGCTAAGGGCAGTTGCACCCTCCAAAACTAATGACAGACAAGGCTGGAACAGAGTTCTTGAATAATTGCAGTTCCCATAGGTTACCTTCCTCCACAGTCTCTTTGCTCTAAGAAGAAATGAGACAATGGGTCAACTGAAACTAGGGCTTGTGTTGCACGGGCAGTATCAGACAGAGCTAGGCCTTAATCCTTGCAATCTACCATCACTAGGGCTCCAAAAGCTTAAGCCTAGGAACCAAGTCATAGCATCAGAAGATGTCAAGTATGAAGAAACTTTAGGGCCTATATCCTACCTCCTTCTATAGGGGCATAAAACTGAGGCCCAGAAAGGTTCAGTGACTTGCCAACCCTATGACTCCCAACTTATCTCCTTGCAGAGGGCAAGATGGTATACAGATAAAGGTGCCTGAAGATTTTCCTCACCCCTCCAAGTCCTAGCCTCATGCCTATGGGGCCTGGGCTTCAAATCATTATATCCACTGCCATAGATTAATGGCTCACTAATAAACTGCTAAAGTCTATTCCTGATACTTATCTCTGAATGCCGCCAGGGAAGAAAGAGAGGTCAAGTACCTCTGAGTACTTCCACATTCCTGCTATTTTTTGCAATTTTCCTTCGTTATTGCCCACCCCCCTCAAGGAGCACAGAAGTAAGCACCCCTGTGTGGGAAACCATATGCCCAGTTACAGCTGTATTGGGATGGGAACATCACCTCCCTGTGATTGCCACTTCTAAGAAACAGCAGCACTGAATGCCTAGAACATCCTCCTTTGGGAGGGTGACTGTCAAAATATAGGTGGCAGAGCAGAGCTAGAACTATGAGATACTAGAGTCTCACCTAGGAAAATTTTAGCTGTGCTCATCCTAGGCCCAGTGCCCCTCCTTTGCTTTAAGGGTCCTCTGACCACTCATGCTTTAATCAACCATAGGGAGAGAAAACAAGATCATAGGCTGTGTGGTTGCCAAGGGGGAAATGTGGAGCTATCTTAAAGAGATGGTGATAAGAATCTTAGAACTCAAGTTCTAAGGAGTTCAACCAGAATAGGGAACTGAATAGCTGTAGAGTCTGGCTGATTTCTTGCTCAGCATTCAATCAACAAGCATTTATTAAGTGCTTACTATTTGCCAGGCACTGCTAAGCACTGAGGATACAAAGACAACAAAAACTCTGTCCCTTACTTAAAAGAGGTCACATTCTAATGGGAGAAATAACGTGCAAATAACTGCATATACAAGGTAATATCCTGTGTAAATGGGAGTGGTAGGTGATGCCAGAGGGATGAAGTGGAGGCAGAGCCCTAAAGGCTTGCAAAAGATGCAATTTGAGCTGACCCTTCAAAGAAGCCAAGGAAACTAGAAGTTGGAGGTTAAGAGGGAGAGCATACCAGGCATGGGGGGGACAGCCGGTGCAAAAGTCTAGGTCCAGGAGATGGATTAGCAAACAGACTGGTGTAGCTGGATCATCGAGTGACTGGAGGGGAGTAAAGCATAAAAAGATTAGAAAGAGGAAGGCCAGGTCGTGAAGGGCTTTGGATGCCAAACGGTTTTTATATTTGATCCAGCAAATAGTAATCACTGGCATTCATGGGATGGGAGGAAGGGACCTGGTCAAACCTACTTCAGGAAAATCACTTTGGCAGCTTAATAGAGGATGGATTGAAGTAGGGAGAGATGAGGCAGGCAGACCAGTCATAAGGCTATAGTAATGTCTAAGCAAAAAGTGATAATAGACCTATAGAAGGATGTAGTTATGAGTAGATTACATGGGAAATGAAATACTGGGTGAAGACAAGTGAGCTGTCAAGGAATGACACTGAGAGGTTTCAAGCCTGGGTGACTGAAAGGATGGTGGTACCCTCAATAGTAATAGGAAAGTTGGGAAGAGGTAAAGGTTTGAGAGGAAGAGTTTTTGGACAAGTTGAGTTTGAAATGCCTATGGGATATCTAGTTCAGGATGTCCAAAACTCAGTTGATGATGTGGAACTGGAGCTCAGAAGAAAGATTAGGGTTGAACACATAAATCTGGGAATCATTTGCATAGAGATGATACTCAACGGGAGTTGAGATTACTAAGCAATATAATACAGAAAGAACAGAACACAGGGCAGCCTTATGGGATACCCATGATTGGTGGGATACCCTGAAGAGTCAGCAAAAGAGACTAAGGAATGGCCAGAACCGTGCTGCTAGCCAGGCCTAGCAACTTGAAGTGGTATCTGTCCTGGGTGACCTCCCTGCTCCAGCCCAATACACTGGGTCTTTCTATGGCCACTGCTCTTTTGATCCCCAGCTGGCAGATTGCAAAGATCAAAGCCTCGAAGTTATAGAAGATATCTGACATTTTGTAGACTCTATGTTTTACTTACTTTATTGAACTTGAGCCTCATCACCCTATGAGAAAGGTACTACAGGCATTATGCCCATTCTAAAAGATTAGGTCATGGTATCAGTGTCCGGTGGCATTTGAACTCGGGTCTTCCTGAATCCAAGTCCAATTCTCCAATACACTAATGGGATAGCTCCGTCTGACCTTTTTCTCCTGACCTTTCTTCTAAGAAGCTGCTCTTAGATACCGAGAGATGAGAGTCCTCTCTCGGACGATGGGTATCCACCTCCAACGGGGCTCTTGCCCCCTCCCCCAACAATGAAGCATTTCTTTTAAGGGCCTATTACACGCGCTAGAATCGGGGACCCGAAGACAAAAAAGAAACAATCCTTGACCTCGAGAAGTTTACAATGGTGAGGGGTGAGAGTGGCGGGGGAGAACAAGTCCCTAGCAGCCACACAACCTATCGAAACTCCATTCCAACACTTATTCAGACGATCGCCTTGCCCCACCTCCTCCACGGAGACGACGCTCTGGCTACGGGCTCTCTAGCCTGGGCAGTGCGGACCTGATCTGGACGGTTGCCTAGTAGACAAAGCAAAATAGGGTCGCACTCCTCCATCCCGCTCCCCGATAGATGGTGCTCTAGGCTCGACGGCGGAACTCACTTCCCCTCCGTTCCCAGGCTCTTCCGAGCCGTGGGGCTCAGCACCCCGGGCTGGGGCGGGGTCCAGGGCCGTCCCCGGGGCACCCTGGGGAGAAGAGGGCTTTGGTTCCCAAGAAGCTTCATCTCCAATTCTCGGAGCTGGCCACCAGGGACAGAGAGGAGGCCCTCAGCCCAGGCCCCCCAGACAGCACCAGGCGCGAGGGCGCGGAGCTACTTACCTAATGCCCACCCTTCCCGGATCCCGCCGAGGGGAAGGGGTGGGGTTCTCTTCCCTGGCTGGGAGGCGGAGATAGATTGGAGGGGGCGGTGCTCTAAGATCACTCCTCATTGGCTGCGCTTGCCGCAGACTAAAACTTTGAGCCAATGAGAAAGAGGCCAGGCCGTGATGCAACGTGACGTTGTGGGAATTCCCCCCCGGTGGGGGGGGCCGGAAAAGGGGCTTTCCCGCTTGGGGCTGCAGGTGGCCGAGTAGCACAGGGGTCTGAAGACTAGCGGAGGCAGAACTAACCGGTAGCGGAGTCGGAGCTGGAGCTGCAGCCGCAGTGAGTGGCCGGGGTCGTACACCTGGGTTCCCTCAGTTCTCAGAGCGCGGGTAGAGGGGCGGGGTCGGGACCCACACTCAGTCTTGAGAGTAAAGAACACAGATCCGGGCGCGATCACATGCATATACACACATCACACACACATATGCATTTCCACATAGATACTGACACACACTAGAGTCATAGAATGTAAGAGCGCGAGGGTCCACAATCCTAGGCACGCATACGTGTCCACCGCACATCGGACATGTTCAAATATACAGACGGGCGTGTACACGCTTCCTTAGATGCGGATCCACCGAAATACACTGATACGCGTATACACAATTGTGTATACAGATCCACCCACACCGACACAAGTATGCTGATACACAAAACCATATAATTTTAGCACGGTTACATAGACACACATGCATGCTGACATACACAAATAGTTACATAGCGACAACTGCAGAGAGGAAAGCGATTTTTCTCTGTTCCTTAAGCATCCCCCTAAATAGGGAAGAGTGGGGAAGGAGACTCCTAGGCCCAGAGCTAGAGCTGGGTGGATGTAGCCATAGGCTCCCCTCCCCCAAGCTGTCCAAGAGTCCGTAGGAAGAGTGAAGGGCACTATATCCCCAGGGACTTAGAGCATTAGGTCCCCCAGAGGAGAGGAGGCTCCCTACCAGAGGAATCTCCCCCAAAAGTCCCAAAGGCTGAATCAGCAGTCTCCCTCCCTCCCTCTCAGGCCCCAACAGATGACCTACGGAAAATCCCAGGGGAGCCCCAGGCCGTGGGAGGGGAGAGAAAGAGAAGGAAGGCTAGACGGGGTAAAAGGAAGGGTAGGTTTGAAGCCTAGGAGGGGGGTAGGGGTGAAGACAGGGGAATCTCTCTTTGCGCTTCCAAATTTCGCCACTGGCCTTGAAAAGGGAACTCTAGACCAGTGCCCCCACGCCCCTCCCTCCTACTGAAATCCTCTGCCTTCTCTTGCCCTATTCTTCTCCCCCTTCATCCCCAGCGATCAGCCCTTCAGACTTGGGAGCAGGGGAAGAAGTGTTCCTCAGATAGGGGGCAAGAGATCCAGACTCTACAATTCCCCATGGAGCAAGGTTCTGGTCTGGGAGTGGGGAAGAAAAAGGAGAGAAGGAAGGGCCCCCTCGAACTCCTAACTGGGCCCTCCCTCTCTGGGCTGGGCAAATCACGTCATTTCCAGGCCCACCCCCTCCCTTCGCCCCTCCTCTCTCTGGTATTTTCGGGACTTTCCTGAGCTGTTCTAACTTTCCTGCCCTCCCAACCCCCGCCTGCCCGCAGCTCTCTGGCTCTCACCCATTCCAGCCTGGCAGGAGGAGGGACCCTCTGCCCCCCACCCTCAGGCTCCTGGCTACTCCCTATAGACCTGGCCTGAGGGGTGCCCCTCCACACCCACCAGCACAGGTAGGAGCCTTGGCGGTAACAGCGGCAGCAGAAGCTGGACAGAGCCCAGCTCTAAACCATGGACGATTGCTATGGCCCAGTGAGTGCTAGCTTAAGTGTCTATCTTTTTGACCCTCCTTATTGCCAACCCTTTCTCTCTGACCCTGTAGGCCTCTGTCTATCTGTCCGTCTGACCATCTGGAGTCCTCTCTGTTTGGCTAATCCCCTAGCCTCGGTCTTTCAGCGCGGCCTTCCCCTCTTCATCCCCACTTCACTCAGTCTTGTCTGTATAACAGCCCTGCCAAGCCCCTATCTGTGTCGACCCCCTGGATTCCGGGTCATCTATCTACCCAAGCTTCTAGGCGTTGCTTTCCGGGTTCTTGCTGATGTGAGCTGCAGTCCCTTACTCCCCCTATCTCCAGCTCTCTGGCTAGCCCCATGCCTCTCTTTCTTGGTTTGTCTGTCTGACCACTTTTGTTTATCTCTCAGAGTTTGTGTGATCACTCTAAGTGGGGGGAGGGAATAGGTGATTTTGTGGGAGTGGTCACCTCCCACTATTTCTATCCAAATCCAGGGTCTGGATGGCATTGATTATGATGATTTCCAATTCAACTCCCCAGTAGTGGATCGAAGAGAACCCCCAGAGGAGACAGGTCTGTATGTCTCCACTAGTCCCTCCCCCTTTTCCTCCCAAACTTCCCAAGGACTCCTAGTCCCCTTTATCTCCCACCATGCCAATTCCCACCCCTGCCATCCAGTTGTTTGTTCCCCAGGCAGTAGAAATATAGGACCTTCTGCCAGAATTGGGGTGGGTCTGAAAGGAGATCTTCAGACCCCTGGCTCAGACATTCCCACTCCATCCCCAGGTGAGGGCCCCTATCTGGTCATCGTGGAGCAGCCCAAACAGGTGAGGGCAGGAAGGGGCACTGGGGTGACTAAGGGGCTTTGCCTTCCTCCAGTTTCAAGGATGAGTGGGAGTGTTCACTAGTGGTTAGAGGTGATCACTGTGGGTGTGGGGAGGGGTGGTCAGTGCAGATTGGGTATACTCATGGCTATTTTCTGATCCTCAGCGTGGCTTTCGCTTTCGCTATGGCTGTGAGGGCCCCTCCCATGGGGGGCTGCCTGGAGCCTCCAGTGAAAAGGGTCGTAAGACATATCCTACAGTTAAGGTGAGCAGAGGAGAAGGCCAGGGGGACTGGAGAAGAGGGGCAGGGAGCCTGGAAGGGAGGTGACTGTCCATCTGTGGCAAATGTCCCTCCGCTCATCCTCCCCAGATCTGTAACTACGTGGGACCAGCCAAGATTGAAGTGGACTTGGTCACACACAGTGATCCACCTCGTGCCCATGCCCACAGCCTGGTTGGGAAACAGTGCACGGAGTTGGGTGTTTGCGTGGTGTCTGTGGGACCCAAGGACATGACAGCTCAGTATGATGTCCCCATTCCCATCCCTTTCCCCACCCCCAGACTTCTCTGAGACTGGCAATACTTCTGTTCCCCACCTCCAGTCCCAGGGTTATTGAACCTTCTTCTTCATCCCCACCTCCAGTCCCAGGGTTATTGAACCTTCTTCTTCATATCCTCAATTCCCATGCTTGGCTGTACTGGCGGGAGGGATCAGGGAACAAAAGGGGAGACAAGGGAGACTCAAGCCTTGATTTAGGGAGAGGAGTAAGAGAAGGAACAAACTTAAACCCAACACTAAGAACAGCCTTGGGGGCGGGGACAGGGGAAAGACTTAGCCCTAACCAAGGAGATGAGACTCACTCCTAGGAATATAATGGAACAGGGCAATGTGTGCTCTGGGGGTCAGAGTAAGCTGCCTGCACGGAGGGCTCTAGAGAACCCTGTGGGTTGGAGAAACCAAGGAAGCCTGCCTGCTTGGAGATAGGTGGTGAGCTCTTCATTTAAGGGTGCAAAGGATTTGGACGAGTAGAAAAGAAGGGGGAAGATGCTTCCCGCCCAGGGAGCCACTTGAGCCCTCCGCTCTTTTTCTTCTCTGTATCTGACTTCTCACCCCTGACCTCCCGCAGGTTTAACAACCTGGGAGTCCTGCATGTGACGAAAAAGAACATGATGGAGATCATGATGCAGAAGCTTCAGAGGCAGCGACTCCGCTCTAGGCCCCAGGGCCTCACAGGTATGAGCACCATGGAAAGGGGAATGTATGTCTGGGGCTATGGGTAAGGTAGAGAGGGGGAGGGGAGAAGGGGACAGGGAGAGAGAGAGAGAGAGAGAGAGAGAGAGAGAGAGAGAGAGAGAAAGGAAGGGAGGGAGAGAGAGAAAGGGGAGGGGGGAGATAGAGATAGAGAGAGGGAGGGAGAGATAGAAAGAGAAAGAGAGGGGGGGAGAAAGAGAGAGAGAGAATGAGAGAAAGGGAGGGAGAGGGAGAGAGGAGGGGAAGAGATAGAGAGAGGGAGGGAGAGATAG